AACAAGAGCGAAACTCCGTCTCAAAAAAAAAAAAAAAAAAAGAGAGCACCAAATTCAGAAGTCCTTAAATTTATTTCTAAATTTCAAAACTTAACTTTTTAAACATCACTGTACTTCCAAAAAAGGGGAGGAAAATTGAGATTGCAACTTACTTTTCTTCTGAAATCTATGGAGTACGGTTTTGTAACCTTGGCACTATTAACAACATTTGGGGCTAGGCAGTTTTTTGTTGAGGAGTGTTATCCTGTATATACAATATTTATCAGCATTATTGATCTCTGTCCACTACATGACAGTAGCACCACACCAGTTGAAATAACCAAAAATGCCTCTAGACATTACCAAATGCCCACTGGGGGCCAAAAATCACATTCAGTTGAGAACCACTGTTATTGAAAGATGGCTTATCTTCATAGCTGCATATAATTTGTCTGACAATTTACTAACTTATTTCTGGTTCTTATATGACTCTAGATCAGTACATGACCGAAAAGAATGTGTAAAAGCAAGAAATATATATCGTTTTGTCATCCCCACTTCATAATCCCCCTTCCTAACAATGAGGAAAAAATGTAAATTTCTAAAAATTCAAATACATTTTAAATCTCTATAGCCTAAGGTGAAATTGGGGGCCTGGGCGTGGTGGCTGACGCCTGTAATCCCAGCACTTTGGGAGGCCAAGACAGGCAGATCACGAGGTCAGGAATTTGAGACCAGCCTGGCCAACATGGTAAAACCCCGTCTCTACTAAATATATAAAACTTAGTTGGGTGTGGTGGCATCCTGTCGGTAATCCCAGCTACTCAGGAGGCTGAGGCAGGAGAATCGCTTGAACCTGGGAGGCAAAGGTTGCAGTGAGCTGAGATCGTTGCACATCAGCCTAGGCAACAGAGGGAGACTCCGTCTCAAAAAAAAAAAAAAATAGGTATTTCTGGAAATCTGTAACAAAACTTTTGCAATAGTTGAGCATTGTATTTAGTTCTGAGTTTCTAGACAACAAAAGGAAAAATACGGAGTTACTGTTGTAAACTCTTATTGCATGTAACACAATACTTATTCCCTCTTTCTCTTTTTCCAAGATAAAGTGAAATCTTTCCGTGCAGCTCTACAAGAAGAGGAACAAGCCAGCAAGCAAATCAACCCGAAGAGACCCCGTGCCCTTTAAACCGGCATTTGCTGCTAAAGGATCCCAGAACCCTCACTACTGTAACATAAAACGGTTCAGCTGTAAGGGCCATTTGAAAGTTTGAAATTTTAAAGTGTCTGTGGAAAATGTTTTGTCCTTCACCTGAAATTACATTTCAATTTTGTGAAACACTCTTTTGTCTACAAAATGCTTCTAGTCCAGGAGGCACAACCAAGAATTGGGATTAATGAAGCATTTTGTTTCATTTATGCAAATAGTGATTTACTTTTGGAGATCCTTGTCAATTTTATTTTCTATATGATGAAGTAAGACTGTGGACTCAATCCAGAGCCAGATAGTAGGGGGAAGCCACAGCATTTCCTTTTAACTCAGTTCAATTTTTGTAGTGAGACTGAGCAGTTTTAACTCCTTTGTGTGCATGCATACCTCATCAGTGATTGTACATACCTTGCCCACTCCTAGAGACAGCTGTGCTCACCTTTTCCTGCTTTGTGCCTTGACTAAGGCTACTGACCCTAAATTTCTGAAGCACAGCCAAGAAAAATTACATTCCTTATTTGTCATTGTAAATTACCTTTGTGTGTACATTTTTACTGTATTTGAGACATTCTTTGTGTGTGACTAGTTAATTTTGCAGGATGTGCCATATCATTGAACGGAACTAAAGTCTGTGACAGTGGATATAGCTGCTGGACCATTCCATCTTATATGTAAAGAAATCTGGAATTATGATTTAAAACCATATAACATGTGATTATAATTTTTCTTAGCATTTTCTTTGTAAAGAACTAAAATATAAACTAGTTGGTGTATAATAAAAAGTAATGAAATTCTGAGAAGAGTTTTATCTTAGGAAAATACATATATATGCAGTGTGTGTGCCAGTGTGGTATTAACAAGACTAATAGTGCAATTTGATCCTTACCAATATGATTACTTAATTTGAAGTGTTCATTAGCACCCTAAAATATACCTTTTCTATGTACTGTTAAAGGAAATTGGCTTCTGATGCATGAACATTTACATGTACATTGAAAGTAGTCCATAATAGAAGTTAGTTTAAGCCAAGTGTAGACAGTACATTACTCCCTTGAAAAAGAATTAAGCTGCAAAAGAGTTGACTTTGCCTTAAAAGGCAGATCTAACCCAAGCTCCATCCAGTACCAAATGTGAAACTTCATCATTATTTGGTGAGAATCACCAAATTCTCACTAATACATTGGTGTAGGGCATGCTACTTTTTAAACGGCAGCACTTATTTTTACAGATTGCTACTCTAAGAAAGAAAACTGGCCACTTTTCATGTAAATATTTTGTTAAAAGATTTTGTATATCTCTCTAGGAGTTTTTCCTCAGTTCCCAGGATAGGGTCTGGGAGTAGATTAACAACTAAAAATCTCCCAAGGATATCTTGTTTTGATTTATTTACTCCAGGGAACTACCAGCTCATTCATAGGAGCCAAAGGGAAGCTATGAATAGAGAGTCACATGAGCCAGATTCTTTACTTTACTGTTCATAAAACCCAGAGAGTAGTTGTGAAAGATCCTAATACAATTGTGAAAAGCTCTGTAAACATGAAATCTAAAACAAATGTAGATTTTCACAATATGCTTATTAATAAATGAAGTCTATGGAATGAGTTTTAGAGATAATTTACTTCAGTACAATCACCTTTGTTTTGGAAGGGACTCAGGTTTTCTTGCAGCTGTAAGATATATTCTATTTGTGTTTATTTCAAAGGGAAGAGGAAGAATGGAGAACTGTTACAATTGACCTTGCAGAGGCTGTTTAAAAAAGGTAGTTTTTGAGATTAACCAAACTTCAAAGGGCAATAAAGACGTATGAATTTGCTCATTTTAAAGCACAACAGATTAGCTTCAAATTTATTATTTGCATTGGATGGGTAATATGTTTGGAAAGTCTCCTTATAGACAAATATACTGCCTTACTCTATGATGGCTTCATTCTGATCCGGTATTTTAAAAATTAGTACCAGAAAAGACCTTGGAGGTAGTATAATACAGTCCTTCAGCTTTACAGATAGTTAAAACTGAAGGCCAGAAAAGGAACTAGGACTCAGCAGTTTATAGGGGTAGAGGGAAATAACTTGAGAAAGCCAAGTTAAATGTTAAATTTTTTTCTGTAAGGATAGAGATGATACAAGTAAACTTTGCAAAATAGTTTTGTGAGATTAAACAAAAAATCTACCCTTATGTATATTTCATATTTGTTTAAAAAAAGCAGCTTGATGCTTTTGTTCTGGATTAAACGTTAAGAACAAGCATTGTTTTATATAGTAACATTTACTATATGAATTTCAAGCCAGATTTCAAAATCTAGCTTTGTTAAATTAATTGGAAACTCTCCTATTAATATTAAGTTAGTTATTTTAAAGAAAGCCAAATATCAATAAAGATATTTTTATTAATTTTTTATAGAAATAAAATAGCTACTATAATTCTTTATTATAGTATATTAACAGCAGTTAGTATTATATTGATTTAAACATAAGTAGCTAATAAAACTTGTTTATGACCTCTATTGAAATTCTCAATCTGACAGTTTTAAAATAGTTTAAAACTAAGCACCAGGTATATGAAAAAAGTATGGGAAATTTTAGTTATCCAGAAATCATAGGAATACAATTATGGGAAATGGCTGTTTTTCTGAAGTTGAAAGCAAACATAAAACCAGTTTCAATTTATAAAACCCTTTAAGAGTTTGCTAAGTTATCTCCCTAAGAACTAAAAAGATAAAGGTAATTTTATATTACTTTCATTCCAGTTTAGCTTCTCAATATGCCTGGTACTGCATAGTGGCAGTAGCAGACTCGGGCTTACCCAGAACCCTAAGTCTATGATGCTACAGGATAGCGAAAGAGGTAGGCAATCAATCATAACAGACATTGTATAGGATAAATAGGGAAGAGAATGAGAAAAGCAAAATAAAAATAAGAAACAATTGTTTTACTGTACATGTGAATAACAAGAAATGGTATGAGGAATGTGAATAACATGAAATGGTATGGGGAATGTGTGACTAGTGAAGCATATTTTAACTTTTTTACTACTGGAGGAACAGACCTAAAGAAGGCCTCACAGTATATTACACAGTAAATAGAAGAGTAACATCTTTATACAATAAACTGTTAGAAATGATAAGTTTAAGTATAAAGTTGTGCGTCTCTGCGGCTCCTGAACGTGAAGATTATTATTAATAGATTGGGCTCTATGTTATATATTAAACCAAAACCAAAAAAAAAAAAACTTGCATACTTAGAACTTTCCAACTTAAAAATTCAGAATAATAAATGGTGACAGCAGTAGTAGTATTAAACCAAAAATAGTCAAGTAAGGAATGTCTCAGTAAAGCAAAAGCATTATCTTCTCAAATATAAAAAATGTAGATTTCTTTTCTTGACCTTAAAAAATTCTGTTTTCCAAATGCCTAGGAAAAATGAATACCTTCTGTGTTGAATCCATGTAGCAATCTGAAAAAAGAAATCAAAATGGAACGGTACTGAAAAGCTAATTTGTAGCACCTAATGGTATATAGCTCTATACAACTAATTCTGAAAAACATGAACACAGCATGCCTACAGAGCCCACCCACTCCTAATGCTAGTTACTAAAGAAATGTTACTGGCTGGGCGCAATGGCTCACGCCTGTAATCCCAACACTCTGGGAGGCTGAGATAGGTGGATCACCTGAAGTCAGGACTTTGAGACCAGCTTGGCCAACATGGTGAAACCCCATCTCTACTGAAAATATAAAAGTTAGTCAGGTGTGGTGGCACATGCCTGTAATCACAGCTACTTGGGAGGCTCAAGCATGAGAATTGCTTGAACCTGGGAGGTAGAGGTTGCAGTGAGCTGAGATTGGGCCATTGCACTCCAGCCTAGGCAACAGAGCAAGACTCTGTCTCAAAAAAAGAAAGAAACATTACTGTCTGACTACATTTATAAGATAGATATATATTGGTTAAAACAATGCCATGTTGGTGCTTCTTTCATTATAGCCTATATGTTATAATGAATTTGACTAAAATTGTCTTGGACTTTTGTTATCCCAGGCTAAGAACTCATTGGCACTTGTTTCATTTCAACATGGTAACTGAACAAGAAGCTGTTTGGAATTGGCAGAAGTCAGATGAATGACCAATCTTACATGCCCATTCTTCCTCTCTTGAGCTGTTATTTATATTCAAATTAAATACACATTGTTTCTCTCTGTAGATACCTATGTACTTATTAGATTCTAGTTAGGAAACTGCACATGCTCAGTAACTTTGAGGAAATTTAGTGAAAATGAAGGAAGAAAAATAAAACATTTCACTTTAGACCTGAGGTTATTTTTAGGCAGACCCATAGAAACAGGTCCAGATAAATTGTCTAAAAAAGCAAAGTAGGTACTTATGAATAGTATTCAGTGCCTAGAATTAACATCAAAGAGACTTAGTAGTACTACTAGCCACCCAATAAAATATAAACTCCATTTGTATTAGTTATATAGAACTGTGTTTTCAGCTTAGAAAAAGTCTAACTAATGACTTTTATAACAATCTACCTTCATTGTTTATTCAGCCTCCAGAACATGGAAGCTTTAAAAGTGAATTGGCTAAATAGGCAAGAACTTCTGAAAGTTAACATATTAATGACTAAAAACAGTAAGTAGAGGTTAGTAATTACCTGAGTAATTAATTGAAGCCTTATTTTATTTTTGTAAGACTTACTTGCTTAATTCAAGCAAAACAAATTTTTGTCTAAATTACTTAGATAATTATGATATCTTTTTACCTTAGAAGTGTAGTACTTGCCTCAGGCTACAAAAGTAACTATGTATTATTACTAAACAGATAACCAGGTAGGATTGTGACTGACATTATTGTATGCTTAACATTGATTTAACAACAGCTATTCCCAGTAAGGAAATTTTAAAAATCAGATCCAGTTACATGTATTATGATTTTTCTACCTTTGGACTATTTTGGAGGGATAAGTTATTAAGACTAAGACTATGAATGAGAGTTGAGGAGGGAGTGGGAAAGGAGGAACATGCACACCATATTAACACAAAGGCAATCTTCTGGCTCGGACTGTTCTTTACTACTATTCTTAAAGAAAATGTTCATTCTGCTGCAGCTAACTAGCCTCCATCTTTTACACCAAATACTATTCCATGCCATGGAAGTGCTATGCAATAACTCTCCCCGGTAGCACCTTATACCGCTTAAAAGCCTTTAAAATCTCTAATCTGAAGGTGTCACAGTAAAGAAATGTAAACACTTAGGAAAACAAAAATGTAATTACCTGATGAAGTCATCTATGTCCATGGAACGGGCCCGTTTGTCACTAAAGCCTGTGCTGGTTAGGATTTGCTGTATTTTATCTGCTATGCTGAAATCTTCTGGTATTATCTATCAATATAAGATTCAGAATAAATGAACGACATATCTTTAATGAGGTCACTTTGACTCTTTTTTTTAGTTCAGTAAGTCATAAAATAGTCACCTTTAATGTATTTGTTAATGAAAGTTTGGAAAGCCTGATTGTTTACGTAAGACTTGAATCAAATTACTTAAGTGGCTGATATTTATTTACAAAAATTTGGAATACCTTGAATTAGTAATCATGTATATATTAGCCTTTTACTTCTTTAAAATTCTGAAATAGTTAGTTTCAGACTTCACAAATAATTAAAACTGTAAACTAAATTTTAAAGCAACTGTTACTCCTTTCAAAATAATGCATTTTCTTGCTACACATTTCACCTAACCACCTTGTTTTTCTCAAAGAGGTGACCTCTCCAAGCCTTGAGAGTTTTAAGGATTTTATCCTTAATTCACATATTTTATTCAAAGATTTTTCTTAATCCAGCTTACTATTTTTCTATTACACTTAGGCAGATTATCTAATGACCTTTTGCCTATGAAAGAGAAAACAGAGCTAGTATTGTGATACATTAAACCATACAGGTTCTCAGTCATTAAAAATACAAAGAAAATTGGCCTTTATCCGTCTTTTCTGTTTAAACTGGAAGCTAAAAAGCTAGGAAACATCACATTACAGACATTGTTACACAAATGATAAGCTCACAATCAGAAATCTGTATTGAGCGTGTGAACTTTATTCTAATTATTTCAATTTCTGGGTATTTAAAAAACTACAAAGAAAATATATTTGTAACTGCTATGTGAGCAAAAAACAAGAGATGGTCACAATTCAGAGGACAGTAAATTGTATATAATTATCTTAAGTTTTTCAAGTTACACATATCTACAGCTTTGAGGAAACTATAACAGCTGAATCCTGTTATGGCTAAAAGCAACTGTCAGTAGTTAGATGACAGAGTACAGTAATCAAAGTTGCTCACATCTGTTCCACAGGATACACAGCAGCACCGACCTGTCAGAGTTCAAGTCAAAATTGTGCTAGTTACGCATTGTAACTCTTTTAAGGAGCCTATGGAATGTACAAAATAATCTCATGCTAGATCAACAAGAATAAAAATGGACATTCAAAAACAAATCAGTGAAACTGCAGGAACATTTTCTACTTACAATATTATGGACTGAACAGTGAATTCTATAGTTTTTTTCCAAGAGTTGTTGCACGGCACTTGATCTATAGCATAAAGAAGTGATGCCACTGTTATTATTTCAAAGTCAGAGCTATTATACATAATTTCATACTTTTTAACACTTTTTTTTACTAATATATAAACTAGTTTAATAATTTCAGTTTAGATTACATTAAATCTATGTTCCATATGGTGAAATTATGGAATTTTAAGAGTTGAATAAACTTATAAAGCTAACACTAATTATACTTAAAGTGCAGAATCCTGATAAATACTTCAATTCTTAGAGAAGTTCTAGACCTGCCACAAAACACTCCCTAAAAAAAAACAAACTCCAATCCCTCTAAAACTGTCTCTCGCCTCTCTTTTACCCTTGAACCCCAAATTGATGTGTTGCATTTTCCCAGGTTAATAAGATGACACATATCCTTCATTAAGTGTGGAAGAGGTCCATCATCATCTCATTTTTCCAACAAAAAACTAGAGCTGATGTATGGTCAGAGTTTGGGAGTGTTTTCCTGTTTTACCAGAAACCCTTATCTGACTCAACTCCGCAAACTTCATTAAGTTCTCCTGCCTCCCAAGGTCCAAAGACAATTAAAAAGGTAGTTTGTCTCGGACCCATAATCTTTACACTTGGACCAAATTCTAGCACAGTATCTGGAGCACTGGTCCTTTATACATTAGAAATTAGTGAAATACTTACTTAAATGCAGCAGAGAGTGTCTTGTTTTTCCTAACAAAGGTTATCCTTACTAGACCATCCCATTCCTGAAACAGAAGATAGATATTTTCTTCAAATTACAAACTTCTTGTTCTTGTCTATGCCTGCTAGGTATTATTTTTTCTTTTAATGAGGAATTTTCTAAAGTGAACAAAATGTTCTGTATCTTCATCTGGCTGGCACACATACGTAAAAGTAAGACATACACTTGATTTTTGCAGTTTGGTGCATTTAACTGAATGTGTCTTTTCCTCAGAATTTTTTTTGACAAGCGTCAAAGCATGACAATATTTTTTTTTAATTGGAAAAAATAAAGCCAGGCACAGTGGTGCATGCCTTTAGTACCAGCTACTCAGGAGGCTGAGGTGGGAGGATCACTGGAGACAAAAGTTCAAGTTCAGCCTAGGCAACATAGTGAAACCCTATCTTAAAAAAAGGCGGGAGAAAAACAAAACTGTCCCACATCTGAACAAAGAACATGGCACTATTTATTTAAATCTAAGAATCATTTTCAAAAATAAGATTCAAAACAGACATGACTTCAGATAAGGCTTGTGTAACACACCTAAACCTCCTTGAAGGAGTTATTGATGAACCACTCCATTTACCACCAGATGACCACACACACAATCGTATTTTTCTCTAATATGACTAGTAAGGTTTTACCTGAAGTGGTCTTTCTTGTTTTTAAATCTCAGAAACAATTATGATTAAAACATGTTACCCATAATATTACTTTAAAACAACCATTTTTATTTTACCTTGTTTTCCAAATTTTAGTCAATTTTTTTTTTTTTTTGAGACTGGGTCTCACTTCGTAACTACTTTGTATCAAATTATTCCATCTCCTTCAGCACAGGGATGTGTGCTAATTAACATTTCCCTATGTTTGGATATTTAGGTTGACTTAATATTTTTCTGCTGCTATAGACACACATTTTCCAGCCTGGACTTCTTTTTTTTCCTTTAGTGAATGAGCCAGTATTTTAACCTTACCTGAAAATTGATGGGTGGTGGTGGATTCTTAGGTTCTATCCTTACAACGCTGGATTCCACCTTGGGCGGTGGTCTGAAGTTATTCTTTCCAACCTGTTAATGAAAAAGTATTTCAGTAGTACTTTCAAAGGCAACTTTTATTTAGTAACCAAAGATGCTATCCTCACAGAAGGCACAACTAGATGCTCAAGGATGAGTTAAGCTAGAATATTTCAATAACAATCACTGGCGAGGTGCTGTGGCTCACACCTATAATCCCAGCATTTTGGGAGGCCAAGGCAGATGGATCATTGAGCCCAGGAGTTCAAGACCAACCTAAGCAACATAGTGAAACCCTATGTCTATTAAAAAATACCAAAAACTGGGCTAATGCCCTTTTCGGCCTTACCCTACCTGCACCCAGGTGAATAAAAAAACAAAAATTAGCCGGGCATGGTGACGCACACCTCTAGTCCCAGCTACTCAAGAACTGAGGTGAGAGGACTGCTCGAGTCTGGGAGGCAGAGAGTGCAGTGAGCCACTACACTGCAGCCTAGGTGACAAAGCTAGACTGTGTCTCAGAAAAAAGAGAAAGAAACAAAATTCACTTACTTTCATTAGATGGTCCACACGTGCCAAGAGCTGTGTATTAATTGAGAGTCTGCAGTACAATTTATCTCCAGGTTTTGCAACCAGTCGGAGGGCAAATTCTCTTTGAAACATAAGTATAGCACATCTGTAAAGAAAGCCGAGAAGAATAAAGAAAATGGTCACTGTCAACTATAAATGAATTTTCACTGCAATGAATTTTCCTGGTAGAGAAATAGCAAAGCACTGGCAGCTGATTATACGGTAGGAGAACATTTTCAGCCTTTGTTTTATTGCCATAGAATGAGACCACAGGCTTTGTTTTTATAATGGCTGTACTCCTCACCCCAAGATAGCTTGCAAATGTAAGCTCTCAGTAAATAAGAAGGTGTTTCGAACCAGGACTAGTCCATCACCTCTTCTATGAAAACAAAAAGTGAAACAAAATTGTTTCAGTAGAAATATATCAGGTAGCAAACACCTTTAAGGAAGAGGTAACGCTGAAGAGGCAGATTGTGATGTTCAATGTCTCCCTGATTTGCCAGGTTAAAAGATGTAGAAGTAGACTTTTTTTTTTTTTTTTTTGAGACAGAGTTTCACTCTTGTGGCCCAGGCTGGAGTGCAATGGCATGATCTTGGTCACTGCTACCTCTGCCTCCTAGGTTCAAGTGATTCTCGTGCCTCAGCCTCCTGAGTAGCTGGGATTACAGGTGCATGCCACCATGCCTGGCTAATTTTTGTATTTTTAGTAGAGACGGGGTTTTACCACATTAGCCAGGCTGGTCTCAAACTGCTGACCTCAAGTGATCTGTCCACCTCAGCCTCCCAAAGTGCTGGGATTACAGGCATGAGCCATCACACCTAGCCAAAAGATGTAGACTTTCTTAATCAGCAGGCAATGGGGAGACTTTGTAAGGGTTAACGAACAGAGGAACATCTTCAAAGCTGTACTTGACATTCAAACTTTTGACGAGTCATACAAAAAAATATATTTGGCACTGTAACCCAGGCCACAAATGCCTGTGTGTGTGTGTGTGTGTGTGTGTGTGTGTGTGTATTTAATTATTTTGAGACAGAGTCTCACTCTGTTGTCTAGGCTGGACTGCAGTGGCACAATCTCAGCTCACTGCAACCTCTGCCTCCCAGTTCAAGCTATCCTCCTGCCTCAGCCCCACTAGTGGCTGGGATTACAGGCATGTGCCACCATGCCCAGCTAATTTTTGTATTTTTAATAGAGACAGGGTTTTGCCATGCTGGCCAGGCTGTTCTCGAACTCCTGACCTCAGGTGATTTACCCACCTCGGCGTCCCAAAGTGCTGGAATTACAGGCGTGAGCCACGGCGCCTGGCCCTACCCTCTGATATATTCTATTCCATGTTATTTTAAAAAAGAAAAAAAAAAGGCTGGGCGTGGTGGCTCACACTTGTAATCCAAGCACTTTGGAGGCCAAGGTGGGCGGATCACCTGAGGCCAGGAGTTAAAGACCAGCCTGACCAACATGGTGAAACCCCATCTTTAAAAAAAAAAAAAAATTTTTTTTTTTAATTTAAAAAAAGAAAAGGCCGGGCGCGGTGGCTCAAGCCTGTAATCCCAGCACTTTGGGAGGCTGAGGCGGGTGGATCACGAGGTCAAGAGATCGAGACCATCCTGGTCAACATGGTGAAACCCCGTCTCT